AGCGTTACACGCGAGCTGTGAAAAATATGAGAGAAAATATGAGAGAAAATTAGACGGAGACGGACTTGGGACATTTGCAACGTTGACAACAACAAATTTTTGCGCCAATTTTTACAAGTTACATTCGAAATGCTGCAAATATCCCAAGTCGGTCTCTCCCTACATTTCTCCCGAGACGGACTTGAACCAAGTTTATATAATGACTTGCATATAAAATATTTTGGAAATCGAAATGGGTATCCTCAAGTTTCTTGCACGAATGTATAATTTTTCTTTATATTCACCCCACTCACAAACCTAGTCCTAACCCTATATCTTATTGTGCGCGAAACATGTCTGAGAGATCTTGTAGGAAACATGCATGTATAGACAATGCTTAAAGGCAATGACTTATATTATCATAATGAATATTACGTTATTTACAAAATATATATAACTAATTTACACATTTTATAGTATTTTATCACTACACGATTATAGTTCATGCAATAAACAAATACCATTTTCATCTTGAGTGACAAAAAAGCCGGACAAATTGTTTTGATAGTTCAGCTGTCTAGTTTCCGATTTCAGTACTTCAGATATTTTAATGTCAACATTTCTCGGAACGAGGCAAGGTATACACCATCATCGTTCTTGCGTATGCTCATTCGCCGCATTTTATTGACCGTTTTGTTTCTTTTAAGAAGTGCAGCTTCTCTCCTTCGCCGATTTTGAAACCAATTCTGTAAAGAGAAGATACAAAAGATGATATATATTAAACCGCTGGGAAATTAAATGGCCGTTGCTATATAGGTCTGGCTGTTTTGGTCTACAAATATAACCCTAAACCTAAAATAATTTAACCCTATAATAATATCCTAAAAATATCCTTTAATATCCCTCGGAAATTGCCGCACCTATAGCCACTTCGGAAATAAATCATAGATCCATGCATGCAGAGTATAAGTATCTTTACTTTTCGTCGGTTAATTATTCTTCTGGATTTAAATGCATTGAGATATCTTAAGGTTGAGAACTTACTTTGACGGTAACTTGCGACAGGTTTAATTCTCTTGCCAGTTCTTTCTTCCTCTCCTGCGTAAGAAACTTTGTCATTTGGTACTCTTTTAGCAAGCGTTGCTTTTGTATCAGATCAGGTTTTGTAATTCCTCTCTTGTTTTTATTTCTCTTTTCATGTTTTCGATTCCCATGCATCTATAAAGAAATTAGTCAAAGGACGTGTTCAACTATTTTGTTGCTACCAGTAAAGAACACCACGTTTAACAGGTTTCCTTTAGTTGTCAATGATATATATGGCGTTTTCAGAAAAATAACCCTTAGATATATATTCAATGGACGTGTGCAACAATTCGTTTAACGTACACCGTATTCGCTCGCTTCGCTTTTTAAAATTTTAGCGTTGATAACTCGTTTTAACATAATAATAAAAACCACCGGTGAACAGTACTCAGTATATTATTGTAACTGATGGAGAAAAGAGAAAAATAAAAACAGGCTTACCTGTAGTAAAACGGCAGTCCGGACCAATTTCATCCAATGAATTCAAAACGTCATCGACCATTTCTCGTATTCTTCTATTTCGTAGTAAGTACTCGGCCACGTCTTCCCAATTATCAGCCATATTCGTTGACTTTTGATGCGTTCTTGATGCGTTCTCTGTGAAGTCTGTACACGAATGAATCTTTAAGAGTAGCCGAGCCCTTTTGTATGGTTTGTAGACGTGTTAATCATGTGTATTTTTAGACTTGTTTATCAAACTTATCTTCATCGGAATGTTTGATTTTAATCTCTTTTGGAGTTGAAGCTTTATGCAAAAAATTAATTGTCTGGAACAAATCTGTTGATTATACGACAATACATTTCCGTAATTACATTTTAAACGAAAAGTGGTGTAACTAAATCCAAAACTCTTCTGGATTTATCTTTTTCTATATGGCTATATAGTTACCAAGTTGAAAGATTTTGGTATTTTTTTGAGAATACTAAGGGATATTTATTCATAAGAGCATGCGGTATAATTGGCGCTTTATCAGTGGTTTTAATGTAGGCATTTTACGAGTCGAGTCATTTTATCGTTTGAACGTTGGTTTTTTAGCAATAATTGGATATATCAATTTACTTCCTCGGTAATTCAGTGCTTTTAATGTGTTGCGTTTTATGAATCAAGAGCTTGCGATCCAATGTCATACGTGAAATTTCGAAACTTCGCAAAATTAAATTTACAATGCTTATGCGATTTATACATGTCATCAACAATTGTAGGTGTTTCGCGTTTGTTAGTGATTTTTATACATATATTTCTTTACATATATTAGTTATAGCCATTAACATTCCATTTGAAGCACCTGTCATCGAAACATGCCCTGTTTGAACATGCTATGTTAATTTATACGTTTCCCGAAATTAAAATATCTCTGCTATACTTATTTGATATCGTTCATCATTGGAAAAATAGTTTGACTGCCGATTCGTTCAATTTCTGTTTATTGTATTTTATAAACAAGTTGTCTGAGTGTAATTAAACTATTTTTGTATTCCTTACAACAATAGACAGTTTATTCATGTAATTATTTGGCTAGATCGTTATATCAAATTCGAAGTTTCAAAGAAATTTCCGCTGGAGTAAATTTTGTTGATATAGTAGCTGTATTTTTCGCGAACGCTTGATTTCTATTTAGCATTCAAGCCACTTAACCGTTTTGTAAGATTATTAAGAAAGCAACAGACGCTTTGGGCAGTGAACTTCGAACACTTTATTTGTTATAATTCATAATATTAATATAATCTTCAAAATACATTGTCCTTAATTCAATCTAAAAATCTTTGTTGTTAAGGACTGCATTGTGATGGCATTTATCACTGGAAAAAAGTGAAATTCATGCTATGAAATTTGCGATTGCGTCACTAAATCCATACTATATCCATACAGTATGGAAATTTCCGTTTAAAACTGCCTCCAGCAAAATAAAAAAAAAACTGCTGAAACTACGTTACCACAAATCAGAAATGCACAATTCCTTTGGAATGTTAGTTATAAGGTTGTATTTATGGGGTGAAGATAAAGAAACATTATACTCATGGAAGAAAGATAAGGATACCCATTTTGATTAAACACTTCCAAATATTCATACGGATATGCGGGGATACGCTTTAGTAATTATAATATTTTTTATAAAACCTGCATTGGTTTTCTATTTCAGAATAAAAGTGTAATAACTAACCCTATAGATTATAATCTATAGGGTTAGCTATTACATTGGTTTTTTGCATTATATAATGCACAAAACATGAAGATATCACCTCAAAATGGCTCAAAATGAGATTCTAAGAATTAAAGCCAAAAAAGAAGTAAAGTTTATTGCCAATGCATATGATTTATATTATAAATTAATGACGCTATATTTCATGCAATAAAATGGCATTTTTATTTTGAGGGACAACAAGTCAAATCGCAATAGAAGTTTTACAATAAAGAAAACAATCGAAATTTCGGAAACATTTTTCCAATATATGAAGTATTCCGAATTAGAAAACTACAGAGCTTAACCTGAAGTGCATGTAATTGTGTTGAACTGATACGAAAGTAAGGTGTATGAATAAATATGTAGATTTTTGGCATCTCACAGACTCACTCGGTTCAACGAAATGTGGGATTTTGTACATGGAAATTGGCAATTCCAGGTTTTAATTTATGGGTGCAGGGGGCGACGGGAAGTAAGGTATCATGTTGCTGATTATGCTGAAAATTTCAATTTAAATAGCCTGCGTAGCAGGCGGTATTCGCGGGCACGAGAGAATGGGAAGCTTGAAATACCGCCTGCCCAAAAACTACACATTCTGAGTTCTCCCCGGCAGCTGGGTGCCGGAGCATTCTGATTGGTAGCCTGCGTAGCAGGCGGTATCTGATTGGTCAGAATGTTGATTTTAAATTTTTGATTGACAGGAGTACAGAATTAGAATAATTAGTGCTAATTTTAGAAGTTACTGTTGCCGTATTTATAATATAAACTATTGTTATTTTCGTAATTGTTCCGATATATCGAGTGATGGCATACACTAACCAAAAGATAACGAATGTATTAATTGAGAATTAAGCGTTGAATTCTTTAATCTTTATCTGGAATCGGAAATCGCTTCGTCTTGAAGAATGAACAACGAATATCAATCCAACATTTGTTGCTTGAAGATGTGATACCGTGATAAAAGTGCAGATTTGAAGATACAGGCTCGTAAATGACACTCTAAATCGTGTTTTGATAGCGATTGGAACAAGCCTATTACAAAGTTACGTCTGAAGGGGCCGACGTTTGTTCGGCGAAAGGTATGGCTAGTCTATATTTTTGTTCAGACAATTGCGTAATTTGATAAAACACGAACTCGCTTGACTTTCAAAGCTCATAAATCGCTATAATGTTGACATCGACTAAAACTATCGCTATGAATGAGGACATATTGTTGCACTGAATCGAACGTGGTATTTTTGTCTTCATAGCATTGAATGAACCGAAGATATGAAACGTCAAAGTCGTATATTTGCACTTTTGTAAATATGTGAGTTTGACAAATAATTAAAATAAATACATTACTGTAAGATGGGCGGGACCATGCGGTGGGCGGAACTCAGAATGTGTAGTTTTTGGGCAGGCGGTATTTCTAGCTTCTACCGCCTGCTACGCAGGCTACAATTTAAACTGCCGAAACAACCGAAATATTTCAATATTTAGAAGTATAAGCTATCACTGCCGCCATTTTTATTTGTTTAGCGTGATATTTAGCAATATGATACATTATTTCCCATCAGCCCCTGCACACATAAACTAAAAGCTGGAATTTCCTATTTCGAGTGGAATTTTATACATTTTCAAAGGGCCTACTGCTGGTTAGGCAGGGTGCGATAAATCGCGTGGTTATTTCCTGATGTTTCGTGCACAATAGAGTTAGGATAGATTTGTGATTGGGCTAAAAATCAAAGAGAAACATATTTGTGCACGAAACATGTGCATATACAGGGTGTCTCAAAAAAAACCAAAATCATTGAAATAACGTATTGTTCGAATTTCAATGCCGTAACACAAAGGATTTTGACAGGGTGATTAATTTGTTTTAAAAAATTAAAATATCTTTGTAAAGTGAACGTTTGTTTGCTCATGGGAATTTAAAAATGCTTTGTAAATTCGTGGGTTTATATAGTACTTTATGCCTGACATAACAAGTTTACGCTGAGTATTACCATTCATTATAGCAGTTATGTCAATCTTTTATGCACTCGTGGGATTAACTTAGTGCTAGGGCATTGAATATCGCGAACAATACGTCAATTTCAATGATTTTGGGTTTTTTTGAGACACCCTGTATATAACCTTCGTCTGCGCCTGACATGCTAAAACATGCAAGCAAACTTGGAAACTATGCTATTGGGGCAGTTCAATATATAAACTCGACTCTTGCAAATGCGAAAAAAGCGCGCCAGAACTGAGCTAGTTCGATCGTCATTTAAATTAAGGTTCATAACTTTTATTTCATTTCAGTAAACTACAAGAACATGAAAAATTTATCATGCAGTTTAAAATGTAACAATCGCGCTATACATTTACCAAACAGTGCACTTTTTTGAAACAGAGGTTCTGAGGTTATGAACACAATGTATTTTGAATTTTATATAACAAAATGACGGGTGTAAAAATCACTTAAAATATTATTTTTTACTGCCGCGGACGTTTTTTGAAAGGCGAAATTCGATTACGATGAGATCGATTTTTCATTGGAATATCAATTATTATACTTAAACCTCGGCTTTAACGAGTGATACTAGATACCTTATTACATATACCTTAGTAAAATACAACAAGATATAATGTATAGTAATAAAATCGCAATAGAAATTTTACACCAAAAAATCAAACTAAATTTCCCAAACATTTTCATGACGACCCGCACGTTTTGAAAAACAGCGGGATCTGCAAACTGAGTTTGCAACTTCAGGAAGCGAGCAACGCTAATCGCATTATTAATTACCGCTATAAGATGTCATCAATCCAGGTTCAGTTGGTTAGACGCTGTGTGAAACCAAGCAAGTAATAAGTTAATTTTCTGTTATGCA